CAATATAATGACATTGAATGACATTAAACATATGCTGCGGATTTTTGTTTAAGCGATCAAGCCAACTGAAAACCTACTTCTATTTTGTTTGTCTGTTAAACCCATCCTAACTGCAAGAAATTGTTACGAGTGTCGACGTATGGCAACTATTGACTCTGATGCATGTTAACTACATATATATTTCAACATGCTACAATAAAAATAAGTGTAAAGTTATTACACTATTAAACATGAGATGATTGAAGGAGATCACACGCGTACATCAACGTGTCCAAGCTCCAGCAGGTACCGTCAAGTCATGCGCTGTAATGACCGCCCGAATTAATCGCCCTGACCTGCACACGGCTACTGCTGGCTCCGAGATTACCGCCAATTATAGCTTCACCACAAGCTTTGTACAGTTTTTGTGCGCCATTGTTGAATAAATTAATTTTCGGTACGACTCATTGGACAGTCATGATGGCATAAGTGCGGTCGGGGCGAGGGCTCAGCGCTCGATGGACTATGAGTGAGCTAATTTGGGCGTTTAATGGTTGAGGAATGTTCGAGATGGTGTAATCGAAGGTACCGGCTGTTTTTGCGTTATCATTGTAATAAATTCAAAGGGTTCGCCTTAACTAAAAACTTAAATCCTCCATTTGTTTTGTTTAGTTACCTACGTCTTGTTGCTTTTGCCGGCTTCGCTTCAGTTTAGGTAAATTTTATATATAACTTCATCGACATCTATTTAACATCTTACAAAAAAAAAAAAATTAACAACAATTTGGTTGCATGTATATCAAAAACAATTAAGCTTTAGTGATCTGTGAAGACACCATTTATCTGTAATACTACATCTGTAATAAATTAATTAAAACCAGCATAAGCTTGTTATTTACTTTTCTAATTACAGAGTAAAATTATTGCATGCCCACTCAGCGGACTGGAATCCATGGTTTTAGGATGTCAGCTATCTTCTTACGTTCAGGTTCAGGAAAATCCTCAGGATGCAATTGGACGTAATGTCTAAGAACTGCATCCTTTTCAGCTAAATAATCATCTCGTGTGTTTTGTACATACTTTAGAACAGCAGTTATACCGAAATAGATCTGGGTCATAGTTAGCAGTCAGTATTTTGGAAAGAAAGGTGCTCTGGTTATTGAGATATTTTCTTTTCACCTGGCAAAACTTTTCAAATTATCACAATGATTGGTGGAGTAATTTAGGCGTGAAAGCTTACCAACAAACCAAAACACATTTTTTTGTAAGAATGTTAATATTGTCGTGTAATAGATACCTTATCTCGTCTGTCCTCGGTAAGAATCGTTCTTCTGACCTGTCGCTCAGCAGTCTTGATGGCTAAACACAATACTAAGAGGTTAGTCAATATTTATTTATTTTTAATTTATTTAAGTTATTAATTTAAAATACAGATATTGAAAAATCCAATGCAAAAGGCAAAGTGTTGGTGTGAGTACGGCGTGTGGCGCAAGCGCATACAATGATTTGTGCAAATTATAGCGCACCGTTGTTGTGCCTATTTATGCTCTACCTAGAGACGGACTGTACATTCTTACGAAATTGCCTCCAACATGTAATCTATGTAAGGAATTTCATATTTTACATTGGTTCAAGTATGGGTAGATGACTCTACTTACTGTGTCATGTCTACAAGCTGACATTACATCTTATTTTAATCTCTCTATATTATATTATTGTCAGTTGATGTCCCAATCCAACCACAGAACGGTAATACGGAGATGTGACCTCGGCCTCTTCGAGCTACAGGTGGGGACGTCGAGTCCCGTTTCTCCATCCAAGACTTGGGGTATTTCTTACCCTGAGCATCCTCGCCTTATCTGCTTCTTTACCCAAGTTTACCTTCTTATCACGTCTGGCAACTATTAACGACAGGCGGACGATAATTGAACTTTTGTAACTTTTGGTAAAAGGAGAAGAGCAAGAAAATTATAATAATGAGCTCTACATTCAATTCTTAATCATAAGCTCTGCCAACCTTAATTATGACATTTACTAAACAATTAAAGCTATTTTCATACGTCTTATCTGTGCTTTTGTCCTTTAATCTCAAAAGCCTTTCCTCTTTTTACTGTCTCTATCATAGAGCTGTCCATTCAGGTGGTTTTCAAAGCATCTTGTACCAAATACGGGTGTATCTCACAATAAGCACTCATTTAATCCCGTCTCACAATTGAGCTGTGAACTCTACATAGAGTTCAAGTCGGGTCACTGTCAACCGTTTCAATAAACTAAGTCTTATTAATATGTTGACAAATCACCCCTCGACACACAACGACGTCATGTAGAGTCGTGTTGACGTTAGTGGGCGGCTCTACATATTGTTAAGTACAATGTGAACGAAGGCTCAGCGATTACTGACACTGTTCACTTACTGAAAAGGTAGAGTCACCATACCTTAAATAAAAGCTGTATACAAATATTATGAGATTATATATTAAACTTTCACGCCTTAACTACTTAACTCGTTATGTGGTACATCATGAATTATTTTATGAAATCTCAATGAAGGCTAGTGAAGTCTGGATTTGAATCTAATTTGTTATAAGTTGTTGGCTTTTGTGGAACAAATCATGCCAGTTAGAAAAATGTTGTAATAATAGATTTGCGGTTTACTCGCGGATATATTTCGAGGATGCTCGACTAGCCGTAGGCCTGACGGAGACCCTCTATCCTGACGCTTCATGTTGCGATGGCGATACGCATCACGCAGGCCGCCATTAGTTGTACTGTATGTGTATTACCACCAAACGATTCAAATGAAAGTTATAAACGAACGATACATAATGTTGGTGAAGCAATTATGCGCGGCCGGAAATGATTATAAAGCGGATGTGACGTCTCCTCTAGTTTTACTGTACTCGATTAGAGATCGCTTTTTTTTCGTTATTTATATGATTTCACATAAAATTGGACGTAACTATTGCTTCAGATCACCACCATTTCTTGAGTCTGTGACACCATTTAGTTAAGGTTTCAACTTATTTTTGTCTAATTTAGTAAAGCTATTGTTTGTCATGTCATCCCATTAAATAAATAAATTCGTGTCATTAAAATACTTGAAAGGTACAAAAGCATTTAAATATACATATGAATGTGACTGTGCAATTTTGTACTTGTGAGGTTCTGTCGTCACTGCCCAGTGAATAATAACTACGTGTGATTGTTTTATGCTTAAGTCAAAATAATATAATAATATAAATTATGTAAATTCATAATCGTTCTGGAGATCACCAATACCTGTGCCGCAGTTGGTTTAGGAGTCTTGCTATTATTTAACTCAAAAGTGCTAGAGACCTTGTTTGCGCCTTTCACGTTGGATAGCCATATTTGTGTGGGTGGGATTACTCTCATATAATCTCCTTAAATGTCAACTAACATGACACATTAGAAAACTATAAAACCTAATGAAGGGAATTTACTAAGTTTTATAGTTATACTGATCTAGTTCAGAGCGGGTATCCATAAAGCGTGGTGACGTGGCCACGCTGTGGCGCGGTGGGCGTGGGCGTGGGCTCAGCGCGCCGACTCTACGCTCTATCATTAGGTTTACGAGCTTGCGTTATGACGACTAATAACAAGTAATTGGTGCTGTGTACTACACGCTGCTACATACAGAGTAGTCAAATTAATATCGATACAATCGATAATCAATAATTTCACAGAAAAATAATTAAATGAAAAAGTAATATTAAGAATGATTTACAAAAACTTATATTGTTCCCGCACCCATACAATCAACCATGACAACAAATTATTTGAAAAATGAAATGATTAGTTGTTATTAAGTAAGTATTCCCTCCAGTCCTAGTTCTGGTTCTCCATTTATTTTACGACATACGTTCTATGAAAGTACCTTTTATGACAGTTGCGAGATCAAGAGTTGATCGAAACTGAATTGTGACCGAACTTATATTACGAGAATTGGCTTTCTGACCTACAATAGGCGTCACTATTATACCCCTATCTGACAGCCAACTCGAGCACAGCGAATGCTTCATCGGCTTTCTGTTTCACATTTACGTCCCTTTTCACGGAATCAGTCTCACACTTTACAGGAAAAAAAGAAAAAAGGTCTTACACGTCAAAAATATCTAGTCCGAGACTTATCAGATAAAAACTGTTCATTTGAAAAGTCATCAATTTTTATTCGATTTGGTCACACTTCAATCTTTAATCGATAATGAAATCGGTTTGCATACTAATTTCCGTCGTTAGTCATGAGTCTACATTGGATCTGCTTTTCGGTTAATTACACTGCAATCTGAGGCACAGATGGACTACGAGTATGTGAAAGATTACAAAAGAAATATTCTCACTGTATTCAGAAAAGTTTTAGAACGGTTTAATCGTTTCGTTTCTGATTGTTCTGCGCGACTACTGATAACACACACAGCCTCCAATCATCTTCATCTAATTCATTAATTTAACGAGCATCGATTTCATCGTGTTAATTTTTTAAGTTTACGATTCCAAATACATATGATTCGTTTCTGATTAAAAATAGCTACCGTCTCATTAAGCTCGATGTAAAGCCGCCAAACGTAATGATATATAAAACTATTCAAGCGCATATTTCTCACGGTAATTCCAATCTTCGGGACAAGGAGCCAATTCCTCACACGCGTTCGCGGCCTTCAACGCCACCGACTCATCAGTTTTATATCCTAGATGTATCTGTGTGTAAGGCTAAGACAGTACGTACGTTTGAGTCTGTACTTGTAAGTCTGTGTGGAAACGTTTTTATTAACTCATTAACTTGAAGAATGTCTTCATAATGTGTCTCCAGCCGCGGGACATCATTCATTACCAACTAATGACATTAATAAAACCCTATCCCAACCTACCATATAAGATCAAATAAACAGCGTTGCAACATTTCAACGATACATTGCAATTCAGTTCAAACTGTATAGATTCTTATTTCAAACTAAACTGTTAATGTAAGACGTAGTGGATGTTTATTTCTGAGAGTTGGAGATATGGTTGTACTGCGGCCAGTACAGGGTAGCCTGCAGGCTCGCGGCGGTCGTGCGCCGGCGCAGCGCGGCAGCGGCTCCCCTGAGGCGGCTACCGCGCGTACGCCGATAGTATCGACCGGCGCTCAACAATCATATTATACAATTATTTACCGACATTGACCACTCACCACCTTATCATTTACATGAGCCATGTCCATGGGCTCGTTACCAATAGTTCAGTTATTCTTGTCGAACGCTCGCCACCAGGTATAATCTCACATTCAATAATTTGAAATTAATTGCGTATTAAGTTCAAATCGATTATCGATAAGACGATATTACCATTGAATACATTTTATTAATCCATAAAATAAGAATTTCAACTATAAGCGCTGGGAATTGATTAATTCTAAAAAACGCTATATAGTTCATTAATCGAGGCTGTAAAATGTATGGCGCTCATTGTAATTTTAATTAAATTCCTGGTCAGATAAGTCGCATCGCTTCGTTTAGGAAGTCTCCCGGGTGTCGTGACTTAGGAATGTTTTACGATCTATTTAATACATAACATACACTAATCTCACTCGCATGAAAATCTAATCTCTACAGTAACACGAGGTAATTTATAAGTTCATCCGCCTTGGTTCGCAAATAATTGAACAATAAGTATGCACTCACAATTGCGTAGTCTGCGGTAACGCAATAATTACGGTTTATGGTTATTTTATCCTCGATATTTCAAAAGCTGGTATACCGCTATACCCTTCTTGTCCTGAATGATGATGATGATTTTATAATCGAACGTGGTAGCGGCCTGTACAAAAACTATTCTGCTTTGTTTAGCGCTTTCGAGAGTTGTTATCAGCTATTAGCGTTACACAACGCTTAACGCTAAGTCATAATTCAAATAAACAACTGCGTCAAAAGCGGTATAATTTGCGTGTGCCAGATATCGGGCGGCGTTCACACGGCGAGGGGCGCGTCACGCCGCGCGCCGCGGGGCAAGCGCACACCACACATCCATCACATCGAGAATCGAGAACCAAGTGGAGCGATTTGTGCACAACATTGCGCAACTGTCGCAACAACGCATGCAGATGGTTACGGTCCCAAATGACCAAATAAATCCTGAGCTGTGCCGTTTTATTGCTCTGTGATATTCTCAGAGTTGTCTCTGAGAATTGGCGATGTCAAAGCCTTTTGATAGCAAAGTTTTTATATTGTTGTTGTGGGGGGAGGGGGATTGGGCATTATTTTGAGGGCTTATTATATATAGCCTATAGGCTACAGGAGTAGTATATCTTTACATAGTATAAAATAAAGTCGCTCTTTTGAGTTGCAAACTTAGATCCTCTAAACTTAGCAACGCATTTCAGTGCGGTTTTGACTAATAGAGAGAGTGATTCAAGAAGAAGGTTTATAAAATAATAATAACTTAACACATCTCACAAATGGCCATCTGATCCCAAACTTGGCAGAGCCTGTGTACTTATATATTTCTAAATACATATATATCATAGATAAATTACACCCAGACACAGAATAAATCATTGTGCTCATCGCACAATTTTGTATCCTGAGTGGGAATCGAGCTCATGACCTCCGCATTAGCAGTCACAGTCACTAACCTCTAGACCAACAGACCCGTCTAATGTCTAATAGTGTCTAATATGTCTAATACATGCATATTATAGTAGAGGAAATCTGAGAATTTCAAAGATTTGTTGTGAAAAACATGTGTTGGGCTTACATTGCAAAACATTACTAGATAGACCAAAATAATGTACTACGGAATTGTATATCTTAAACAGATCTACAAAAAAATCCGCGACGATATGTGTCTATCGCCTAAGGATAACTCACAATATCCATTTTTATCTTTCGATTATTTCATTTTTTTTATTTCAAAAAATAATGGGTTATTTACGAAGCTATTTTAATCAATACATTATTATTCCTTATCCAATTAAATACGTTGTTCATTTAATGTAAATTAAAATTGCTCTATACAGCATATCATTAAAATGAATATTTTAGAAGATATTAGAGGTTTAAAATGCGGGGGCGCAATGACGGTCGAGGCGTACGTCCGTCCCGGCTGGCAGCGGCCGGCAGGATCGGAGCGGGCCTATAAATATTGCACTTAAAGATGTCCTGTAGTATAGTCCTATCATAATAATAGCATAACTAATTACTCCACACTGACACTAAATTAACATTCGCACGGGTGCAATGTAGATACTACTAATACTACATTAGTGTAGTATCTACATTGCACGTGTGCGAAGACGGGGCAGAGCGCTAGTTGGCAATTAAAAACCAAATCAATTAAGAACTCTCAATAACAAAAATAATATTATGTTCCTAAATTCATGATTAAGTTTTAACTTATACATATCGTGTACTTTATTTTATATCTTAAACTACCAAAAATGTAATCTTCCGTAACTTGAAACAAAATCTAAAAAGAATCAACACAGTATTCAGGGTACGGAGCTGACTCAGCCCGTGACTGCGGCGGCGTATAACGGGGTATGTAATTGTACAAAATGAAACTCAAAGCCTAAAAGTACTGGAACCAGTATTTTTACACTTCCAACAACTAGAACTATGAAATGTTATAAACCTGTCTCGATTGGAGAGTAGTAGTGGATCTACTACAATATTTCATCAAGTGAAATCGGCTTAGTGAAGCGGAACGCTAAGCCGAGTGATACATGGCAGCTACCAAATATTATTATCTATCATTAAAATGCGAATTGGTAAGTTTCATTTCGATAGCCGCAATCACTGAATGTTAGCAACTCGTAATTGTGCCGATATTATTTGATTTCAAACTCGTTAAGTAGATCTAACGGTGCTGACGTACTCCGCCAGTGGCCGACAGTCTCCACAGCCTCGGTGTTAATTCGAAAACACATAAATCTTGGCGGCGATGCCAAAATATTGAAACGGTTATATTTTTAAGAAATTAAAGCTACTAGTTTTAATCAATATACCGGTTCATTAAATAGTTTAAGCACTCTATTAAGTATAGCCTTAGGCTTCACGTGTTGCGTTATAGCTGTCCAAAGTGCGTTGAAAACTAGAGTGAATACCCGTTCCGAGCGGGTTGGTCCACTGACAGAAATATTGTGGCAAATCGTAACTTATCTATTTAACATTTAAATATTTTCTATTAGTTATTAACTAGCTTGAAATAAAATTTCTATACTCTAGAAATGGAAAGTCATTTTAGACAAATAAACATTTATATACAGAGTTGGTTTGACGATGTCATTATGATCATTGTTTCTTTGGTGGTAAGTGATAAGGACAAGGAAATTATGTATTGGGACAGAGATATTAACTAACCGATCATCATTGAATTTTGGAAACTTTTTGTCACGAGTACAATAAAGTACATTTATGCTTTAGACGAAAATAAATTAAAATTTTATGTGAGCGATGCTTGCGGACTGACTACTGCCTCAACCAATGTACAAGCTCGTGAAGCTCAAATTTTAAAGAAAACCATATGAAAATAATATATGTTTAGTACTTTTACAGTTTATCGCATTCAGACAGACGTATTAACATAGATGTATTAAATATACTAGTAAATATGTATTGTTTAATTCATATTTTTGTCATAAAAAGGTACAAGACATGAATGAAATAGCTATTCCGCGTGCGAATATGATCAATTATGACACCATTCGGTTAATGAAACACGCAGAGTGCGGCGAGGCATCTCAATTCAATTCCCAGAGATGTCTGTTTACGACTTTACATGGCCTGCACCGCTTTGAACCCGGTACTTGTTGCATATCATTAGTGTCAATTCTCTTGCGTTTTATGGCCACTTCACCTAGGGCAGTAACTAAACGGAATTAAGCGTCGCTTGACACAAAGGTCGACACCGCCGTCTAGCGTGCACTATCAATTAACCACAATGGCCTGCGCATGCGCGGGTCTGTCAACACACGCGACCCCGGCCCACGCGCACCCCGTACACCTGCGAAGATCAAACCGAGGAGCTCGGTTGACGTTGTCAAACATACGTTCAATGTTAGTGATAAACTCAGAGTTAAATAAAGAACCGTCAAGAGTAACTAAAAAAAATCACATTGAGCTAATGGTTTGTTGTCGTTTTGTTTTAAAAGTTTTATATATTTATTTTAGAAGAAAGACTAGAACTAGAACTATATTAAAAATCTTTTGCCTGTCCGGGTAGCTGAAAAATACATTGGTTACACAACCCCTACCACCTTCTTCCTCCCTTCCCTAAATATGAGCAATCAGCGTAACCATGCCGCGTTAATTTTTAGGGGGTAAGAAACCCCTACGTCCACTCAATGGCTGAGGCGACATATAAATAAATCTGATTTACTTAACACAAATGAAACCATGATACGAGCATACCGCACCTTTATTCATAAACTGAATTAACTTAGAATTTCAATATTGTGGGAAATCGCATTTAAAGTTTGACATTCATGTACGTTTCAGTTCAGTTCAGTTCGTCAAAAAGAGAACGACGATCTCTTTTCTCTGCCATTTTCATGGTATCGAGTCGGCTGTTGGATTGTTCGTGTTCTACTGATGAAGTTGATTTGGTATTTATTGAAAACTCGAAAAACGTAATTTTTGAATTAATTCAGTTTATTATTAAAGGTGCGATACGTTCATTATTTTGCGATAGAGTCTTGTAATTGGATGTGTTGAAGACCTACACGTTGCGACCACACTTTGTGTATCAATTTCAAAATAAAACAAAAGTAAAAAAATAACAAATTTACTAAATGCAGTCCTTAGGTCAGTGTTTGACCTCAAATTATAATTAATAACCATATACTTTTTATTTAATGATCCAATTTGATAACGCCTTTCATTGTTCCAAAAAATGCCAGCTATTTTTCTGCTGACTTTTAATACCCAATAAAATAGACTAATCACAATTCGACAATGGCTTTACTGGACAGTACGATTCACTGACCTGACGGTTACTAAGAGTCTTTTGGTTGTGACAAACTCTGGGAAATACCTTATTACAGTGCACTTATTGTCCCATAAGATTTACGAGTTCAAAGATATTAGTAAAATCCATATTTTAAAGTTAATTCCACCGCGTTGAGTAACAAAGTGTCCGCGCACCATATTTATAGTGTCCGGCACGGCATTTTATGGCATTTAGATACTTTTATCAACAAATATTTTTTACAATTAATGTCACCTTAAATTTCCTTTATGTGTCACGTCGTTTGGCGAGCTCCGACAACATTGTACAGATTTTATTGGAGGTTACGGATTTAAAGGCCCACTTCGTATCACATTTGTATTATTAAAGCTCAATTGTTTTATGAAGAGTTACTCCATATTCATAAAATATATTTTATAATAATACTCTTTAGGACGGGGCCATTATATTGACCATTCAGTGACTATTTAGGAAGGGGCGGTTAAATTCCCAACTTGCAAACGACTTGGATATATATACTTGGATATATCTGTTTGCTAAAGTATCATATATGTTTTTTTTAAATTTATTATTTGATTTACTGTCCACAAAGCAATCATTGATTTTTTGTTTGTCAATCATTTTTAGTTCACAAAGAAATATAATTTCAGTATTTTTTTAAGTTGTTTGACTTTAGCTCTTAAATATTGAATAGCGTTGATTAAACACGTGGATCTGTATGACGTATTGTGAGTTTTTGTTTAATTCTTTTTTCATGTACAGATCTTATACGGGCATCAATTTTCACATACACTACGACAACACGATTGCAACACGTATTGATCAAGTACGCTCTTTCTTAGGTCTTCAGTTTAAAAGTATATTTTAAAAACATAATTAATTTTCTCAATTACTTGGGTCTAAACCATGTATCATCATAAAATTAACGCCTATTCTATGAACTTTAACAAGTCAACCGGTTACCGTTGAGCCGAGAGCGTTGTTAAGATTATCTCATTCATTTTATGGGAATGTAAAATGGTTTTTTGAGAGAAAAACGATTTCACGTTGTTGTGTATAATTACGAGTACAGAGAAGGTTGTGTTTTTATAATGTGTAATATCTCTTGGAAGTAACAATGGTGGGCGTCGGGCGCGTGCACACGAGCACCCGGGCAA